TTTTTTTGTTTTTTTTTTGTCACGGCTTCAAGGCGACGCTGCTCTCGTGGGCAACAATCTGGAGGGTTCTCTGCTACGGAGCAGCGATGCTTAGGGTGCTGTTTTGATCCAGAACTGCGTTCAGTGCTCATCTACTCCAGGGACACGTATGCCCCCTTGACCGCTAAGATCAGGCTCACGCTTCACAGTGTTTTGGCAGGCACGTTCTCAACCCGGATGCTCATCAGAATGTGCGCGTTGAAGAGCTTCTTCGTGAAGCCCTGTCAGGTAGTTCAGAGTCTGATGTCAGTGATGCGGGTGCATGTGCTAACACAGTGCTGAAACGAGACGGAGCCGGCCCTCCCCCAGTTCTTGGGGGAGTGGGAAATGCAACCCGTGATCAGGTGTTTGTTAATTCTGCCTCTGGCGTTGTTCATGTCAGCTACGATGGCGCGAAACTTTTGTGTGCAAGACCCTTGATTGGAGAATGCAAATCTAATGATGTCGTTACTGGAAGCGTCGGACCTAGTTGTCTGCAAGCAGTGCGGCCGTGTAGCGTGACAGCCAGACATGTGAAAGTGAGCTTTTGGAGCTCGTTTGCATTTCTGGCTGTGTGTGCATCGGCAAAGTATCTGTGCGTGATGCCGTACGCTGGGGAGCAGAATCAACAGCTGCAAACATCTCCTGTGTCAGCGTGGGGGCCGCGCCCATACGGTGATGGAAATTGTGGGGTTCCCCGACAGTCGTATCCGCCCTGGTGCGGCAAACGATCCGCGTTAGATCATATGCCATTGGCTGGGGAGCATAACCGAAGGCCACAAACACGTCCTGTCTCAGCATCTCCATATGCTGGGGAGCATAATCGACAGCTGCAAACACGTCCTGTGTCAGCGTGGGGGCCGTGCCGTAAACGGAGATGGAACTTAAGGGTTCCCCGAGAACCGAAGCCACCCTGGTGCGGCAAACGACCTGCGTTGATCATATGCCATATGCTGGGGAGCGTCACCGAAGCGAAGGCCACAAACAAATCCAGTTTCAGCGTGGGTGCTGTGCTAGTCGGAGGGTTCCCCAACATTCCATCATGGTGCGGCAAGCGACCTGCGGTAGAGCCTGCCATTGACAACCCCGTATCTGCGCAGGCTGGGGAGCATGATCAACAGCTGCAAACACGTCCTGTGTCAGCGTGGGGGCCGTGCCGTAAACGGAGATGGAACTTTTGGGGTTCCCCGATGCTCGAATCCACACTGCGGAAATGGATCTGCGTTAGATGATATGCCATATGCTGGGGAGCATAACCGAAGGCCACACAAACACGTCCTGTTTCAGCGTGGGTGCTGCGTCGCTCGGAGGTGAAAATATTCCCCAACAACCGATTCCATCCTGGTGCGGAAAGCGACTTGTGGTAGAGCCTGCCATTGACAACAACCCAGCTTGAGCCCTTCAAGCGGCGGAATTGGAGAGTGTCGCCGAGTTCAAGCGCAGAGCTTTGTCCTTCGGCGTCACCGACACTCACCTGAAGGCGCTGGTTGACGTAGGCTTTGCTACCTCTTACCAATTTGCTTTTGCAGTGCCTTATGTGCCGGGAGCTGCCGACGAGAAGCCGTTGGTAGACCCTCTCAAGAAAAACCGTCGGCGCCGACCGCAAGGACTCCGGGCTGGCCTGCCTATAGGCAGGCACGGCTCAGCGAACATCACGAAGAAATTGCCCACAGCGGAGAGAGTGGCAAGGGCTCAGGAGCAGAAGAAACGTTTGAATGGAATCATTTGGGGGCCTGACACCGAGCCATCGGATCAGCTGGTGGTCAGATTCATGTAGATGCCTGAGGGCAACGCGGTCATCTAAGTAAAGAAGATCCTTCAGGTCAAGCAGGCCAAGGACTTGGCCGTAGGATCAGATGGGAACTTGAAGGTCAGAGATGCCACACAAGAGCTTCTTCTAAGAAGAGACCCTTGGATACCAGTGGTGACGGACCTTCCGCGATCCTCACGGCTGTAGCCTTTGCGTCGGACCTTTTTGAAGGGAAATGTTTCCCCGTCAAAACTTTGTGTTGTTTGTGATTTCCTACCTTGCGAGGTTGATTCCGAACGATCTTCCGTAGGAAAATCTTTCTTTCCTGGGCTGTACTCTCGAGTCAAAACTGGGCTCAGGGCCAACATGAAAATGCTTCCCGAGTCCACGAAGGTGTTTGATGCTTACGTCGTCAAGTCCATCTCACCTCAACACAGGTGGACATCTTTTGCATTGTTTTCGAACGTCCAGAGTGGTTTTCACACGGATGTGCCAAGCTCCCTTTGGCCGAACCTTGTGCGTGATCCTGCGGGAAATTTCGCCAATGGATGTATTCGGGTAGAGTGGCGTCAACATGCTCTTCGGGATCCCGCCTTGGTGTATGAAGAGAATGACTTGGATAACAACGATGTCCTTGGGCCCATACTTCCAGTGGCTGAGGGCCCAGTACGATTTGGAGCAAAGCATCTGCGACATAGCACTTGCAAATTTTCAGGATGAAGACTGGTCTTTGTTGCGTGTAGCCTCCAGGCACTGTAGCATGCGTCATCAGATGACGTGGAGCGACGACGAAGCTTGGGTTCTTATGTGCTGAAGCCAAAGGAGTCGCCGCCGCCTGTCACTCCAGCCGTCTTGAAGACCACTGTGAGTGCGTACCCTTCGCAAGCAGTTGCTGTCTGAGTTGAAATTTGCCGTACTCTCGTATCCTCCGCACGTGACCTCTGTCTGATCGGTCAGCCGTAGTTACCACCTTGCAAAGGATGGCAACCACCGACACAGGTGGGATTGCCGTCCACCACACACACGCTCTGGCTCAACTACGAGAGGATTTACGCTACAGAACAACGACCCAAAGCATGAGACAAAATCAAAACGTGGGCCCCCTGAACACAACCCAAACCCCGGACCTAAACATGTTTCGGAGTCTGGCTGTCCAGAGCTCCGCTACCATTAAAAATTTTTAGCTTTGAGCAACACACCCGTTACATGCACATGATTCACATCATGACTGCTAACAGCTGCTAACATGCAAGGGCAGCTCTACATTGTCCCACCCAAAACTTCTCAAACATGACATGGTCTCAACAGAGTGAAAATGCAGTTCCAAGGGCCTTGTGCAGGGAACTAAAAACGTGATCAGATTTGCTTTCTGTCATGACACTGTCTGACATAACGGACGAGTCAGGCTTTTTCTTGACCCGCTGTAGTCAAAAAAACACATGCTCAAATGGAAAAAGGTTTGCATGCGCTTGTTTTGCATTTAACTGGCTGAGCTCGAACATGTTTTTGTATTTGAAGTCTTGACCCTTGGTTTCTGTCATGGGAAAAACGTAGCTTCATTGGATATATGTATATATATATATATTTTTTTTTTTCCTGAATTTCGCCGAGACTTTTGAAGGCTTTCAACTTTTTCTTCCCTTTCCATGGGTTTGCCACCCTCTCAAACGAATTGCCGATTTATCGTTGAGAACGCCCGTAGAATTTTTTTGGACTTCAAAAACGGCTGAAGTCCCACAAGGAATCCCAATTTTGGTAAACAAGTTTATCTCAATCCTAATGCCAAGCAGCCAGGAACAGTGAAGAACAACTGGGCATGTAGCACCTTTCGAGTGCTGGAAGTACGTCTGGGTATCGTCCCTTCTTCATGACATTAAGCACACTCTTGACAGTTGGCATTGCAAAATACACATTCCTTGCCATAGCCCAAATAGTATATACGCCTCTATGTATAAGCATGTTTTGTAGGCAGTTTTCGCAACCAAATGAGGAGGAGTGTTTTCTTCTGGGAAGGTGATTAGCATTTGGACCGTGAGCAAAAGGGTTGCGGCCCTAAACCCTAAAGCCTAAAACGGTGTGGCTGATTTCGCAACGTTTCCAGCAGCTGGACTCAAGCTGAAACTGATGGCATGGTGCTGTTAATTGTTCGACGAACCTTTTCTTACATACTCGCCGCATCCCCAGCTGTGCTGCTTGTTAAGCTTACTGGGTTCTCGTAAGGAAGAAGGGAATAGACTATATGGGGACTATATACGGATTAGATTCTTTTATTCATTACCAGCAACCGATAACACAGGTAACAAGATTGCATATAATAGTCGGTATATACAGATACTGTATCATCTACGTTCTCCATGTATACCCCTGTATTATCCCATGTATATTCCTACATCATCCCTACAGCATAATATGATATGAAATACGAAAATATAGTCCACCATAGTATACAATGCCTTTATGGCATGAACAGCAAACATTTGGATGCTCTCAAGAACGCTCAGGTAGCTGCGCAGATCTGGCATGGCTTTGCCAGTGCTGCGCACCAAGGGCGGTTGACACCCTTGCAGGCATTCTGGGCAGTAAGTGGCTACCTTTAAAGGGGGATTGCACGAGGCCTAGGGTTTATGGTGATTATAGGGGTTATACAGGGGCATATAGGGGTTATATAGGGGATATACAGGGTTTAGGGTTTTGGGTTTCCCGAAATTAAAGTGCCTTTTTGGTGGCACTCAAAATAAGAGGACTACAGTATTTCGGGAATTATATTGGTCACTACCCAGTCAGAATGTGTACCCTTTAGGCAACGGTCTCGGAAGATGGCGGCATAAAGATGGCCGCGGACCCAAGTCCCGCTCCAGCAAACCCTCAGCTTTTTCGTCGAGAAGTCGAACCGGATGACGGTGTGCGTCCCGAGGATGCAACTTGCCTGCGAATTCTAAAGTCAGTATCGACCCCAAACAGGCAGAAGGCACGTGTCAGTGTACAGTCTTGTCTACCACAGACCAATGACGGACAGAACCTCCAAAAAGGAGTTTTTCACCGTCACATTCCACGAAAATACATCAGGATCGAGACGTAAAGGCGGACAAGCGAAGTTCAGAGGGCACAGAATGAATTTCAGTAACCCTAAACCCTATATATCCCTTATAATCCCCTATATAACCCCCATATACCCCTTTCTAACGCCTGTAGTTGCCCTAAACCCTACAAGCGAACGTAGGAGCCCGACCAAGGAGTTGGCAGGAGTGGACGATGTTGAGCAGCTGACTCGCAACCGAGAGGTGGGGTTATCCTCAAGATATCCGGTATTAGGGTACTATTAAGGTACTATTGGGGTTATATTAGGGTACTATTGGGGTAATCGTATTAGGGTTGCATTAGGGTTGCATTAGGGTTACATTGGGGTTGTAATGTTATCCCCAAGATATCCGGTATTGATAATAGGGTAATATTAGGGTAATATTAGGGTAGTTTTGGGTTATATTAGGGTAATATTAGGGTTATATTGGGGTTGTATTTGGGTTATATGGGGATAATGGAAGATAAGCTGGAAGCTGCTATTTAGGACCGATACTGGAATATAGATTTCCTTGGCTAGGTGCCTAGTAGAATGCAGGTGCTGCCTATACTTTTATTTCTATGTGACAAGGGGTCGTCCGTCTATGCCCCAACACACTTGAATCCTTGCTATCTCTAATCCATGTTTTTTGTAAACCCTCAACCTCACCTACCCCATTGTTCTAGCAGTTCTATTCTTTTCTCTTTGTTACGTCCCTCAGCGGCACCATCACTAAACCCTAAACAACCCCTACATATCCCTGTAAAGGTACCTTTAGTTTTGGGTGGATTTCCCCGCCAACTTTTTAGAGCACTGGCAGGTTGCTGGCTGGGGCAGTCGCAGACGCAGGAGACACGCTTCAGGGTTTAGGGTTTTTGAGTTTAAGCATTTAGGGCTCCAGGTTTATGTTTTAGGGTCTAGGCTTCACGGTCTAGGGCTCAGGGCTTAGGGTTTAGGAGTTTAGGGCTCAGGGTCTTGGGGTTTAGGGTTCAGGGTTTAGGATGTAGGCTCAAACCCTTAAACCCCCAATCTCTACGCCTAAACGGGTTCAGAGTTTACTCTTCGGCGTGTAGGGCTTCGATCCCAACGGGTTGTCGCTGTCTCTCACAAGGGATTTTTTCGGGTGTCTCGTTTGAATGGTAGGACATCTCGGACTGCCAATGCTCTTCCCTTGTGACCAAAATCTTGCAAAGACAATGAGATTTTTGACAACCACAACATAAAATCTATATTCCAGTATTGGTCCTAAATAGTAGCTTCCATTTTATTTTCCATTATCCCCATATAACCCAAATACAACCCCAAACTTACCCCAATATCACTGCTTTTTATCATGAAGATGATGAACTTCCCAGCTTCGTTGTTGGAGTTTGGCCATGTCCGGGAGCCTAGGACATTCTGTATGTAGCTGTTTCATGCAGGCAACTTGTACTCATGTTGAGCGGTGCCACGTATGGATGCAAGCCCACAAAATAATTGACTTTGGATTCTGATCAACCTGTAGTGGAGGAGGGCCATTCCTTGTGCCTGGGGTGGATGGACTGGCTGGTCCAACTGCAACAAAGCCTGCGGCACCGGCGAGACGTCACGAACTCGTAAGATTTCAGTGCAGCCACAGCACGGAGGCAAAGCATGCAGCTCGGCTCCACAAGGAAATTATTTTCCCGTAACATACTTAGACATACCAGAGTTCCTGATTATAGAGGGGCTCCCACAAGGGACCTCCTAGGTTTGGAAACCCCCATTTTGGTTCGGAGCAGTAGTTTCCATTTTCTTCTCCATTATCCCTCTATATCCCTATATAACCCCAGCATAACCCCTATATAACCACAGGTGGATTCTTGTTCTTGGCATCGGACTGAGGCTCCGGCGCAGACAGGGAGACCAAGAAGTGCAACACACATGCATGCCCCATCAATTGTGCTTGGGGAAGCTGGACTAGTTGGGTCAAGCGCCTTGGCCAAATTAGTCCTCCGTGGAGTTGGAAAGCACCTTTGTCCTGGATTATTTCAAGAAACTCAAAGCTGTGGTTTTGTATTTCCTCCCAGCCTTGGAGGAAGAAGACAAAAGAGGAAGTATATGCGAGTAAGACACAAGCAGCACGCACAGCAGCAGCATGTGTGGGCAGGTGCAGCTTGCAAATGTTGATGGACTCCATCTTCAGATTTCGGGATGAGGGCTCTTACAACTATTGTGATCATGATGCCTATGACTACAATTAGATTATTCTGGTATTATAAATTCAAAATCAAACTACTGTGAGCACTACAATGACCTCCTCTTACGAAAGCAGAGGCCGTTGCTGCTTCAGTATTATTACCGTGACTAGCTATCAGCACTACTACCATTCTTATTCGTGATGCTAAGCATCTCCCCCTTAATATCCCCCATAGTAGTCCCCTATATAATCCACTATAAACCACTTTAAGGAGTTTAGATTATTGTGGCTTCAGGTGCTCAAAGACCTGCGGCGGAGGCACGCAGAAGCGCACTCGGAAGAAAACCCGAGTTGAGGCTCACGGTGGTAAGTGCACCGGCAATCCCGAGGCGGGGTCCGCCTTCCATCAGCTTGCCAGAGTGACCCGTGTGTAGCCTAACCCCTATAGTCCCCCTTAAGTAGATAGATGTAGATAGAATATGGCTTTGGGTATATTGTAATAAGATCCCCATATACTCCATATTCTATCTACTTAAGGGGGACTATGTTCTAAACCACAAATCTCAACACCCCCAAATCCCAATGCCCCAAACCTGAACCCAAGAGTGTAGGTTTAGGGTGTAGAGTGTAGACTTGGGGTTTGGGGTTTCGGGGTTTGTCTTGCAGCGGTGTCAGGAGAGCCGAAAGTGCGAGACCAAGCCGTGCCCTATCGATTGCGTCTTCGACGAGTGGTCGGAGTGGGGGAATTGCACAAAGACTGCCAGCTCCTGGGCGGCAAGATCCTCATAGGGTTTAGGGCTTAGGGTTTAGGGTATATTATCCCCCTATAATGGAGAATCAAATGGAAAAGAAAATGGAAAATGAAATGGAAACTGGGGGAATACAACCTCCCTACAAAAACTTAATCTCTGATCTCTGTAGCTTCCGAACCCTAAATCCCTAAACCCTCATGCCCACCGCCAATCCCTTGGAAGGCAACTGCTCAAGGGTGAAGGAGCGTGAGACCAAGACAGAAGCTAAGCATGGAGGCCGGCTGAAATGGTAGTTTCCCAAAATAAGGGGACCCCAACATAGGTACCAAAATACTATAGTCCTTATTATAGGGGCCCTCAAAAAGGTACCCCTAATTTTGGGAAACCCACAAATTGCGTAGTGCTTTCGTGCAGCTTGCAGTCCAAGGTGTGAATACTCTAGGTACTCTGTCTCTTCCTCTCTTGCTATAGACCGGGGCTATCTATGTATATGTAAATACAGCATATATATATATACGTATGTTTATATGTATGTAGGGTTATACACATATACGTTTTGCTTCTACGTGCTGCAGACTTCTGTCCATGAATTACATATGCTCACATGTCACTCATGTTGAACTATGCGGTACTGTAGTATAACATTTCAATTTGGTGTACGCGCTGGGTCCAGGCAGCAAGTGTGAAGGAGAACCAAAAGAATCCGAGAAATGCAGCTCGACAGCACCTGGACTCCGGACATTCGCAGATTCGCATTGGTGATGATGGCTTGACCCAGACAGCCCAAAATAGCTTAATTGAGGATTATACCTGAAATGATACGAGTATCCCTCATATGATTTAAGGCATGTCGCTTCATCAAGGCACATTGGGCCCATTGGGCTCCCTAAGGAGAGAACTGTAGCAAAACACGCTTGTTTCAGGGTCCATCTCTGGGCTGAGAGGGGATGTGGGGATTGTCCTAAATTACTGTCAACACGGGGTCCTATATTTAGGTTCCTATTATACTACTATTTCCCCCATTTTGGGAACAGCAATTTAGGGAAACTTCCATGCGTGTGTGGGTCTATCCCAATACCCTGCCATTCTGCAATAGGGGGAGTTTTTGTTTTGCACGGGCGTTAGATGGTGCCCATATTCACCCAAACCCTAAGCCTTAAACCCTGAACCTGACACCCTACCCTGAGTTGTAAACCCCGAACCCTCAACCCTAAACCAGGAGTAGCATCTAGGTCCAACTCCACTCGTTGGGGAAGCGTTTCAATTTGGGCCGTGCTCTGCCTTTGTTAATGTGCCCAGGTCCTGAAGAGAAGTGCAAGGCCGTGGCTGCTTTCGGATTAGGATTTAAGGTTTAGGGCTTCGGGTTTAGGGTTTAGGACTCAGGGTTTAGGGTTTCGGATTTAGGATTTAGGGTTCAGGGCTCTATCATGGGAGGCTTTGTCATTAAGGGATGGGGGGGGTTGTTGTTTGGCATAGGGGATCAATGGCAAAGGAATAGGTTTCAGTGATCCAGCTGAGAAGGTGGTCTTTCCGAATCCGACCTTTACTGGCAGGTTTGAAGGCTTAACTATAAACCCTCAACCCTACACCCTAAAGCCCAAAGCAGGGTTGAGGGGGTTCAGGGTGCTAACAATCTTGCCAAGCATGGGTTGATCAGAAGATGGAGCGAGCTGTTCCTCGCCTGTACTGTTGGAGCTTCAAACCTGCGCGAGTGAACCCAGCAAAGCCGTGTGTAGGGTGTAGGGTTTAGGGTGAAGGGTGTAGGGTTTAGAGTGTAGGGTCTAGGGCATTCTGACTGGCTTTTCAGAGGCGTCATGCTTGATCCTCTGGTAGGAGAAGCTGAACCTATATGAGCTATAGTCTAAACTCCTAGTATCCCCCTTAGTAACCCCTATAGTAGTCCCCTATGTAATTTCCTATATAACTCTCTTTAAGGAGTTTAGACTACAGCTCATATGATAGTCCATCATAGCCTTGCTGTGGAATTCATGGCTGCAGGGTAAGTACTTAAGCTTCCATTGGCTTGGTCGCTGTCAAGGAAAGTAAGTTAACTTACCACAGCCTGGATATACACTGGATTCCTTGTAAGGATGAGTTAGTTGTTCCTCAAAGCCTTCTATACCCCATATCTAACCCCAAGTTTCAATTTTGATTCATGTTTTTCTTTTTCAGTTGCTCCTTTATTATGGTAACATTCCTTGACAGCAACCCAGTCGAACATGGACCTTAAACATCTCTAAACCACAAAAAACCCAAATTAATCTTAATCCCTAAGCCCCCCAAGTCATAAACCCTAATTCACTACACCCCAATCCCTAAAGGGTCCTATACATCAACTATAGACCCTAAATCACTACACCCCAATCCCTAAAGGGTCCTATACATCAACTTATGGTTAAAGTCTCCACTGGATATGTGGTTTGGTCTACCAGAGCAAAGAACTATTTCCTCAAAGCCGAAACCCTAGAAACCTTGAATCCTAAACCCTCAAGCTCCAAGCTCTGGCTGAGGCGTGGAGCTCTCCACCAGTCTTGATAACGGCGCTTGTCTTCCTGTGGTCTGCCTTTTCTACCTGAGTTGAGAGGGCATAGCTGACTCGGTCAATCTTCTGCCTGGTGCTTCAGAGGGAGTATGGGAATGGATCCCTACCGTGGTCCGTAGCAAGTCCATCATAATCATACCAGCCACCATAGTAATGGTGAGAATCCTTGTTTGCATGTCCGCAATAACCGCCGAGCACCAGGTAGACAATCTTGTGTTATAGTCCTCTTTGCACACCTCCGCACTGCAGGGCACAAGCCAGCCGCTCTCTTAAAACAATGGCGAGTTTCTTCGAGTGCACTGTTGCGAGGTTCAAAGCTGTACCTGCATATTCCCCGTTGCTATCGTATTTTTTGCAGACAAGGGAACCCACTATACCCACTATTCACACCTAAAATTTGATGCAATCCGTGTTATGAGACCCCCAAGAGGACTCCTGTGTTGAGAAGTCCCATCTGGCACTGCAGCACGGGCTCAAGCACCTGTGCATTCAACTAGCTTTTTCTGTTGTTTCCCCGAATTTCGTCCGTCCATAAAAAGGGCACCCCTCTGTGGATGCTCCGTTTCACCTAGCAGCCAGAAGATGAGAGATGCAATTTGGGCCCTTTCCTTGGCCCTGTGGGCCACGAGGGTGTACCACCTCCCGTGCGAGCGCTCGGGGCCCAGCATGACAGGCAGGGAGCCCTTTGTGGAGGGCTGGGGGATCTGAGTTTGGTAAGGAGAAAATGGGGCTACTATTGGGGCTTTGGGTTTAGGGTTTAGGGTTCTGGAGTTTGGATGATAGATGTACACTGGCGGAGGTTCCCGAACCCTTTCATTTATCGAAGTGGGCTTCACAATGTTCAGCCTGTTTCCTGTGTGATAACCTAGTCGTCGCTTCTTCATCAACACCTTCCGACTTTGCATAATGCTAACAACATGACATACATTCTTCAGGCCCTTCTTTTATGTTCCGAAGTCCGGTGGCGCAAGGTCGCGAGGTGGCAAACGTGGCCGAGACGTTTGATGAGGCTCTGGCCCAGGCCGAATTCTTGGGGTCTAGGTGGTTTTGGTTTTAAGGTCGAAAGGGCTATTACTAGTAAGGACCCGGTGCTAGGCGGCTCCGTACTGCTAAAAAATGATAAGCCCTCAAGCGCAGTTTCCCAACATGATAGTTGTTTTTCTGGTCTTCTCATGTTGGGGGTATGCGAGGGACCTGAAAACTCGGAGAGCTATACAGGAGTAAACTTGAATTTAAAGCTGTTCGGGGCAGTATTTGGAGAAAGCCTCAAAGAGACCCGGCTGACCTGAACCCCTCTGCTGCGAGAAGGTATAGGACTATGTACTCTAGGGATGAGTGCCTCCGTTCCCTTTTTTGCTTTGGAATGCTGCTAGTGCAAAATGCGCGCTCTCAAATTCTTCATGAATCACCAGGAAGTTTGGCAATGCATAGCAGATGTGCCAGGCACCTTCCGCAGGACAGGGTCTGGCAACTCGGAAGCACCCCTTACGATGATGTGG